CTTTTGTTATTCACAAAACCCTTTTGTGATTCACCAAAACCCTTTTTGTGATACACAAAACCCTTTTGTGAATCACACAACCCTGTTGTGATTCACAAATCCCTTTGGTGAGTCACAAAACCCTTTTGTGATTGACAAAAACCCTTTTTTGTGATGCACGAAAGCCTTGTGTGATTCACAAAACCCGTTTGTGATTCACAAAAACCTTTTGTGATACGCAAAACCGTTTTGTGATTCACAAAACCTTTTTGTGATTCACAAAACACCTTTTGTGATTCACAAAACCCTGTTGGGATTCACAAAACCCGCTTGTGGTTCACAAAAAACCCTTTTGCGATTCACAAAAAGCCTTTTTGTGATTCACAAAACCCTTTTGTAATTCACAAAACCCTGTTGTGATTCACAAAACCATGAAACTGATTCCTATCAGAATTGCACAAGCCATTTTGTGATCCTATAGTTTTAGGCTCAAGAAATAGTAGCTGCCAAAATCTCAGCAATGAAAAGGCCTGCTACTGGACAGGCGCCTTCCACAAGGACAAAAATAAACAGCCAGAGGACCCAGAATTATCCTCAAAGGGGCTTGAAACAAAGCTTGAAAGTGAAGTGGCATTGGATTAACAAAGCCAAGAATTAACAAAGCCAAGAAGCCACATGGCTCATTAGCTTTCGAAGGGGCTTGGCGCAAAGCCAAGCAGCAGGAAGTTGCTTCTCACATGGCTGCATGCATCCATGCACTGGCTTCTTTTTACGAAATTGTGTCCATAGTTACATTTTTCATGAGGGAACAGGAAGCCCAGGATGCATTTCAGCAAATCAGAACATGCTCGCAACATTACATATGGCTTCAGCTGGCCATCAATGATAGCATTCGATGGCAGGTCACAGGTCACACCAAAAATTCATTTCATGAACCATTTAGCAAGCCTCTGGGCCTTTCAAAATCTAAAGACTTATTGGACATACTCTAATGAGTCTTGGGTAGGGCAAGTTGCTTGCATTGCACACACGTGCAACCAGACTCACAGAGTCATTTACCAAAAAAATATTTGCTGGGCTTCCAGCTGAGGGTAAGCCAGTCCATCAGCACAGAGGCTTGAGAAAAAGCCAATGTTCACCAGGGTTGTACAGAGGCTTGCAAGAAAGCCACACATGTACATAGCAAGGAGCATGCATCAAGAGCTTAAGAGTGAGTGCAAAAGATACTATTTTTGCTTGTTTTTTCAATCCCACAGGATTGATCAGGATTGAAATTTTCAATCTTGACAACTTGGCTCCTGAGATTGAAAATTTCAATCCTGATCACTTCCAGATTTTCAATCCTTAATATTGAAAAAGGTCTTGAGTTTCAATCTCGCCGAAAACCAATCCCAGGATTGAATTTTTTCAATCTTGGATGCTCAGGGTTTTTGGTGTGTCCACTGAAACAATAGCAAGTTTGCCGTTCTGCTTGGCATTCCTAAGTGAAGCAACAATCTGTGGATCAAGCGGGGGTCACCATGATCAAAAGCCTTAGTCCAGCCGTGAAGCTCAGCCTTCAAAAGAGGACACAGCGCGTCACGCACGCCTTTTCCCGGGATTCCGCCAAACATCCAAGCTGGTATGGACGACGTCAACCATTCTTGAGTTTCGGCTTGTTGGTATCTACTGTTGTTGAGTACTCTCCACCGAATGGAGGAGACAGCAATTGGCCTGAGGTCATTGGCGCAACAAGACCGATCGGTTTGCGCGGTCTTTCCTTTGCCGATGTGCACCTGTCGAATCTGAACCCAAGCATCAGGAACTGCAGCTTTGCTTTCGCAATGCTCAAAGAATCCCGCTAGGGTAGAAAACATGTCGGGGGAAAACTGGCTCAGCTCCTCAGGACTCCAGCCATCCAAGCCAGCCGCACAACGATTCGGGTTTTTCAAGCTTTCCTGGATGGTATCGCCAGCAGGCGTATCAGCACCGTACCTGATAGCTGAAGAAACGGGATGAGCATTCCTACGCAACCAAGCATAGGCAGGTTTGTGTTGCCGCATTTTTTCCGTCCATCGAGAAAATCTTTGATGATCAGCCCTGTGATGATTTCTTTCATCGATTTTTGAAGTTCATGAATGATCCTAGCAACACCTAGTTCAGGTTGGCAATGAGGACTCCGCCGAACGCGTTGCCAGAGTTGACCCAATTGCTTGGTTTGGGATTAGGAAAGAGAGGTCAGATTGCCAAACCGTTGCACCTCATGCAGGCGGGCCAACAACCTACTCAAGACTCTTTCACGGTGAGTAGCCATTGCAGTCAAGCGTCTCAAGCGACCCTTAGTAGTGATTTCCACTCTTGGGAATTTTCTGAAGGGCATCCTGGTTCACCCCACGGCGTGCAGTGACCAAAGTGTCAAAGTACACTTTAGTCAATGCCTGCCAGTGTTGAGGTCCGGCGTCCAAGTGGGAGGCAGGCTCTCTTTATGTTTTTTCCAAGCTTCAGACACAGCCGCCTGCCAAACCGCCTTGGTAAGTCGGCAATTGAGGGCATGGTCGAAGCCGCCAGCTTGTCGTGACAGGCGCGGAAAACTGAAGGTTCAGCTCTTGTATTTTGCGATCAGACAAAGCAATGGCCGGAGTTTCGGGAGTGCCATGGAAGGTGTTACAAAGGAAATAATCAATACATCGGTTACCATTCCATCGCGTGGGAGAACCAGAAGCATTAATTTCCAAGCTGGCACTCTGAAGAGAATACCTGAAAGGACATTCCTGGGGAGTGGCTTCCGGAGAAGAAAGCATGGTAGCCATTTTTGAGAGCCACATTCTGGAAAGAAACCCACTCATGTTTCTTAAAGGCAGTCTCTTGGAGAAAAACGACTTTTGGGGAATCTTTGCTAACCATATGGTTCCAAGCCTGTTTAGCTCTGCCGCAGTTGAAGGTCCAAACTCTAAGACGATCCTGGTGTTGAACACGTCGACGTGGCGGTGGCTTTTTAGCCTCACCATGCCGAACGCCAACTGCGGGGTCCTGACCGGGCACCTCAGGTTTTGTAAGACGATCGCCTAGCACATGGGTAGCTTCGGCCTCTGACAACTTGAAAGCAGCAACCGCCGCATCATAGTTACCTTGGCTGACCTGAGCAAGAGACCGCAGGCGGGCCGGGGCGCTCTTGTAGATCGGTTTCAGAGTGTCAGCACACGATTATTTTTGAAAGTGCTGGGACCTCCTTGACCCCTGCAGGGCGTAGTGAGCAGCAGGAGACTCTGCTGATTGCGACGAAAACCTTCAGGAGGTGGATCCTTGAAACAAAGGTAACTAAGGTCATGGCCTGTGTCAGGGTGTGAAGTTTCTCTTGCTGGCGTTTTTGCTTGACCTGACCAACCCACGCCCCTCGCTTCTTCATTCGTTCCCTGAGGGCAGGATCTTCTCGTTGCTTGTGCCTATAAGCCTCAGTAGGTGTGTCATCAGGATGCTCAGCAGTGAAATGCTTCTGGATACTGGCATCACTCCACGGCCTAGGAAGGCTAGGCAAGCCCTTTTGGCATTTGTGACAAGTCCAAGCCCTTTCATGGTGGGATATGTCATGGGTGGGTTAGAAGATTTCAGTAACATTTCCTAAACGAGGCAGTGCGAGCCGTTCAGCCCGAGTGTGCCTGGTCATGGTGTGGTTGCTTTTCGCCTTTCGGAGTTGGTACCTAGCAAGCAAACCAGGTTCAATGCGGATTTCATTTCAAGTTCAGAGAGTTCTTATATTGTTTCTTCCTATCAGGGTGCTGTCTAGGATAGGGAGGCACATCGGGTTTGTATTGTGCTTCTTCATGGATTTCCCGGGCGCAGGGCTTATCAGTGAAAGACCCTGCAGAGATTCCTGCATGGCTCACGCCCAATTGATGATGCAAACAATGCTAGTGTCAACCAGTGCTGCATCACTCGCATCACAAGAGCCATCAAAACGCGACTTTACTACTGGTATCCTTTTTTCGCTCTCCTACAGCAGGCTCTGTGGGGGTCCCCTTCACCTTCCAAAACATACCGTCTTTGACCTAAACTCACTTCGTTTGCACGGAACTTCAGCCTAGCCTATCGACTGGCTTCGTACTTATACAACAAAAAATGTCCAACTGTCTGACACCCCCTCAATAGGCAACCTTCGGGCGGGTTGCCAATCATGCGATTGCACTACATAGCTTATCTTATTAATATATGTATAGCTTATCTAATTTGTGTTCAAAACAACTCGAGGCATTTTTTGATGTCCTCTTGAAGCTTCTCAGCTTCAAAGACCTCCAACCCCGCCACGTGGAGGCCAGTCTCCAAACTCGCCATCGACACCTGCTCGGGCCGCTCCTTCTCCCATTGGCACATCTCTTTGTTCTCCCATTGACAAGATTCACAAACGGAGAGGAAACCATGTGGGGATGTCTCCACCTCCTCGTGATGGACATCCTCAGGGCCCGTCGGTCCGACAGCTGGTTGGAACATGATCTGCCAAAACATCGGCGCGGTGGCACACTCAACAACACAATCTTATCACAATCCCTTCTACTTAGAGGTTCTCTAGAAGCAAATAGAAGCAGTGGCTTTGTTCATGTTCTCACACCCTTTGCCCCCCATGTCCTGCTCTTTCTTGGATTGCACCTTCCTGCCGGAGGCCTTAGCCTTAGGCTTCGCCTTCGGCTCCTTCGTTTGGTCCGTGTTCTCCATGGCGGGCCACCCAGGCGCCCTGCTTGAACACGCTGTGGGGGGGGGGGGTTCTGCTTGGACTCTACACCCTACAGTAACTCCCAGTCTAGCAGCTTTGCAGTTTCCAGAACTGCCATAACCAGTGCTGATAAAGCCCTTCGCTACTGCTTTTGCAGGGCCTCCCTGCAAACTCAGAGCAAGGGTTCATATGCCAGGTCATGTGCTGTAGCAGTGAAGCCATCAAGCATTTCCACCCAGATGTACAAATATTTAAGGTGTTGTCATTAGTGCCATAGTGCTCACTTCTTCAAAGGTGAATTGCTAGAAACGGTCAGTCGTGTCACCGAGGAATGCACAGCTTCCAACTGATCGCCAACTCGGTCACTCTCTGCAGAAGTCGACATGAATATTTGCTCTCTTATAATGCTTCAAGGATCAAGCAAAAAGACATGGAAGAGGACATGAATCACTAGACCAGACATGTCAGCAGCTTGGCAACGTGCATGAACTGCAGTTACATCCTCATTACATGATCGTAATTGTAGGTCCAAAAATAGTCTTACAAACGCATGAGAATGCCTGGCCAATGAGGTGATATGTATCACATCTGCATCACTGCCACGCGCCACACGCTTGAAATTTGGAAGCTGGACATTCCGCTTCTCCACAGTCACACGGCGAGGTCGACAGCTAAGTGTTCGGCGACGATCTCAGCGCATTGACCTCGCATCGACACGTGCCGGATCGTCGTCTGACGGCCCACGTGTCTTACGACACGGCCATCCGATGGATGTGGCGAGGGATGTGTCTGCATGTGTGATGGGCGCGTTTCCTCGATCGAACCGTGCCCAAGGCCAGCACCCTGTCGGAGCGTCGAGGCTGACGGCCGGTGTTCCAACTCTCGATCCGATTTGAGTCCTTTTTCATTCTGTATGAATGAAACGATGAACCGGAAACAATTTGCAAATCAAGTGCACAGCGAAATGTGGGTTATTTGATGTTATTTGGGCATAGCAAGCGCCAAAAGGGAGCGTTGAAACACGCACGAACTCACTAAACTCGTTTGGACGTTGACTCTCGCTGTTTCTGCACTGAGGTTGCTATCTTCCAGCCATGTTGTTCAATGGCCCTCACATTATCTTCGCAATGCGCACGTGTCGAAGCCATCTTGATACCATGCTTCCGATGGTTGCTACAAAATTCATTAAGGTTGCATTACACTTCTAGCGGGATCACTTGATGCCAACATTTGGGTAAACACCCGAGGCTTCAAGGATGGCCAGAAAACGGCGCTCGATATAGAATCGCATGGTGGTTGGCTGGGTTAAGGATGCATTGATCCTTGATGAACAAGAAGAAACGCAACATGGCCAAGCTGCCTTCAAAACTGGCACCTCAATGGCCTTGAGCGTTCATCCCAGCAAATCCAGCTCAAATCGCTTCTGTTGTACAGCATTGAGGAGCCTAGTAGGCCCTCAGTAGGCATTTCGGTATTGTGTCTATCGTTCGATGTGTCCATCTTTCGAACACTTGATGGAAAGTGTAATGATTTTTTCTCACGTGAGAAAAAAAGAAAGCTGACTCCTGACTTTGGGATGTCTTGGGGCATCATCGAATTAATTGGGGATATCCATCCAGCAGCAAAGCAGCCAAACTGGGAACTCAGCTCTCCACTGCTTTGGCTTCTCATCAGCCAAACAGTGGCAGAATCGGCACCGCAGATGTGTCAATTTGGCAATCCTTGCACGCAACAAACAAGCAATTCCATCAAACAACTGACTACAAGTTCCAACTCAATCATCAAAACTCTTTTCGAAAACATCAAACCAGGCTTGGCGGCTTGACGGCTTCATGTCATTCGGCCACCAAAGTGGCCACATGTGTATCTCGGTGTTCATCCTGCGCGAGTCCCAAATGCTTGGTGAACCGAAGCATCAAACCGACCAGCACAGCCTCGGCACAGCCCTCATTGGCCAGGTCGGCTTCACAAGTGTGAAACGGCCGCGGAGTGAAATAGGCACGGCGTGACGTGGCGACGGAACGGGCGACGGAGTGGTGTTCTGTTGTGATCTGTGCATGTATGTGGTTGGTGCGTGGATTGAGTAATGAATTGCGGCGGAATAGAAGTATAGTCTGTGTGGTCGTTAAAAAATTGGTGACTTGCGTTGACGTCGCGTCACGTGTGTAGGGTGTGTTGTCGTCGCGTTCGCGGTGAAATCTGTTCTAGCTATGGGAGAAGTGTGATGTGTTGATGTGTCAAATCTGTATTGCGTAAGATTCAGTGATGTGGTGTGCTGATTTGTATCGTGTGAAGTGTGAAGCATCCGCAAATATCTATATTTTGCTCCGCTATCTCTGCTGCACATTTCCCAAACTCATGTGGTACACGTCTCTGGACATCTCTACCTTTCTGTGAAGCTCTCCCCTTTTCTATACTTTTGTCAACACTTAAACCCTGTATGTTTCTTTGCTGCGCTCTGGAAGTCTATTTTCTGCAGCTCTTCTTTACAACCTTTAGTCTCTACTCCTTAGCCTTAGCTCCAATTCGCTGTACCTTTCTGAGGACACCTCCACTCCTCTTCGTGTTCTCTTAAAAGCTGTACTTGTTGACTGTTCTCTTGAAACCTCTACGTTACTTTGCCACACTTTCTGTAGGAATCAAGACATTTCTTCAAGGCATTTCTTCACTTCCAAGAGTCCTTTCTTTTCTGTCTTCGACCGAACGAAATCTCGACGTGTCCCTCTCGACGTGTCGAAAACGTGTGTGGAAACTGCACTTCTCTTGCAACCCCCTACTGCTCTGTACTTTCTCTGCTGAAAAAGCCTCTTTCTACTTTCTCTCATTGCTGTCAAGCATTGACAGTTGCGCCTTGAGATATCGCATAGCTAGGGCTTCGTCAACCATGCTGATCAACTTCAGTGCCTTCTCCACCGGGAGGGAACCTAGGCTGAAGTCAAAGCACCACAAGCTTTGAATGATGTCTGGCTCCTTCCTTCCCCCCCGAAAATGGACGATTTTGTCACCACTATGATCTTTTGAGCCTCTAAACCCGATGACGATTGAACCTGCAATGCTATATGCTTTTGGAACTTCAAATCCGCTCGCTGGCGTCGCTTATCCTCTGGAGGAACGGTGGGCAGCAGCTCAAGTATATCTCGTTCATGGTCCTTCACAGAAAAGAAGCGCAACGAAGTGTCAGTCAAGCATGTGTCATTTTATCTTGACTGTAGTTACCCATCCTCCTGAATAATTGCGGGTAGCAGCTCAAGTACATGATCTTCTTCATGGTCCTTCACAGAAAAGAAGCGCAACGAAGAGCAGTGAATCAAGTGTCAGTCAAGCATGTGTCATCTTGTCTTGACTGTAGTTACCCATTCTCCTGAATATCTGCGGGCAGCTCCTCAAGTACCTGATCTCCTTCATGGTCCTTGACAGAAAAAACAGAAGCACGTCAAAATTGGATTCATTCAGTCACGACAGTCCAACCGCTTTGAGGCTATCAAAATTGGAGTTGCTTTGAGGCTATCAATTCCCTTCAACTATCCTCCACTGGACCTTTCAGCAGCGTTTCAAGTGCATCTCCTGGATCGCCGTCCTGCACAAAACCACAAAAACATCCGAATGCAATGAGCTTTGGGTGTGCAAATTGGGGAGATCTCCCAGTTCGACCCCCTAGAAGAAAGGAAAATAGACGAGTCTACCCAGCCAGAGCCAGCTCTCCCTATTGAAATACACACCCGTTTGTTTCATTCTGGACGATCTGAGAGCGCCAACGAATGGCCTTTCACACTCTGTATACTGTATACCAATTTTTGACGGGAACTTTGGGAAGCCTCTCCAGCACTTCCTCTCTTTCACCCTGGGACTTCTCTGTTTCATTCTGTCTTAACTGTCTGGGAACTGATTTGTTGATGTGGATGTGCGATTTACATCGATTTACACACTCCTTTAAAGATACTCTTATGTTAGCCAGTCAGTGAAAGTGTCCGACACTGGCACTGGCGCCTTGAGATATCGCATAGCTAGTAGGGCTTCGTCAACCATGTTGATCAGCTTCAGGACTTTTTCCACTGGGAGGGAACCTAGGTTGAAGTCAAAACACCACAAGCTTTGAATGATGTCTGGCTCCTTCTTCCTTCCCCCCAAAAATGGACGAATTTGGTCACCACACAATGATCTTTTGAGTTGCAGCAACCCAATCGGTGCACCGCGTCGGTGAATTCATGCGCTGGCAACACCCATTCTTTGGCAGCATCTTTCAGCACTTTCTCAGCCTCACTGGCCCAAGCTTCCGTCACATCCCCCTTGTTGGGCAACTGCCGATGAGCTATCACCAATGCGCAGAGCGTCCCCACACCGGGCACGCGGTTCTGCTCAAATTCTTCCAGCCACAAAGAATGAAACTCCTCGTACGCGCGCACCACAGAGCCGCGCTGAATTGAGATCCCAAATCTCAAAAAGATTGCCCTTGCCCTCATCACAGCACGCTGCAGTTTGTTCCGCACACCTTGGTCAACTCTTCAAAGGCCGCATACATGACTCAAGCAACAAGTCAAGCAACCCACTCAGTACACCAAAATACATCATCTTCAACGCACCTGTGGGATCTATAGACGTGCACCAGCCACTTGGCGAACTGTTCAAAGGTTCAACGGTCTAAGTTTGGAGGTTGGCACTGTGTTTGCAAAGCCCGTCGTTTTCGGTTACATCGTTTGTCACGTCGTCTGGATCGATTGTCGTCTGCTGTGGCTTTGCCTCAAGTCGATGCCAAAGGGTGTGTGTGCTTTTGGACCTTGTGTTAGGAAGGAAGGTACTTGAATCATAATATGCATATGTGTCAGATTCCTGAAAAGAATCCAAGACATCTGTCGTGCGGCAGCAGTTGGTTTGATTTCACTGTGCGGACGCAGCGTTTTTGACATCTCCACTTCGCTTTGCTGTGCCATGCCATTTCGGGTTTTGAGTGTTGAAAACTGAGTCTGAGTCTTTTGTGACAAGTCTCAGACAAGGTTGCGACGTTTGCATATGAGGAAAACCTCAAGACCATTCCAAACATTCAGCGTGGTGCGAGGTTTGCTTTTCAAGCGACGGTTCATCTGTCAACGCGTTGAGATTGCGGATACAACGTTTTTTTTAAAAGGTGTATATACATCGCTTTTGCGGGTTTGTGCTGCGCATTGGCACCGAAGTCTGCACCGGCCTGCACTGTATGGCTGTGAAATTTGCACCTCGCAGTATCATGGCTGTGCGAGGCGCATGATTTTGTTCGAGATTGTGGATGCCGCGGTGGCATTAAAAAAAACACTATTGTTGTGAACAAACACGCAGAAAACAATAGTTTCGTGGTAAAAACATATGCTGAAAACAATACTGTATGTTTCACGTGGTTGTGTTTTGACAGGTATGGGTGGTAAAAGAGGGTTGTTCTCCAACACTACACTTCACCACGCTGCATCGGCCTGCACTTCCGATCACAAGTATTGCTCCAACCCAGTACTGTGTTACAGTGGAACTTGGTCAAGAAGAAAGGACGTCTACTCACTCTTCCCTAGTCAAAAGAAGGAACTTCTGAGTTGCGGTAGCTAAAAATAGCTCAAGACCCATCGCGGTGTTCTTCACTCGAGCAGCGCTGACTCTTGGATCAAGAACCCTGCTCGTTCCAGAAGGTGCGGTGCGTTAAAAACCAAAGCACCGACCGACCGTAGCACCGACCAGCAAGGCTCCAAACGCACCGCGCAGTGTCTGGAATATCTGGGAATGGAATACTGACCTTGCACAAGTCTATCCAAATGGGTTTTGCACAGTTCTGGCTCAACGCTTCTTGAACTGCAAATTTTGTGCAATCACGGTTCTAAGTAAGCCAGGGTGCTGTGCCTTAAGACAGCCATATGTTTGGAACAGAGTTGTTTGGAGCAAACAGGTGAGTTTGGAGCACCCTCAGGGCGCGCGAAAGACCTCGAAAGACCTCGACGTCTGAAACAAGATCCGTCGGCAGAGCGAGGGGATCTTAAAGCCGTATCCATGTAGCCCGGGATGAACTGGTCAGTGCGCAGAAAAGCACACATAAGAAGGCGACATTTCCCCACAAAGCCAAAAGTTTCTTGATTCTGCAATTTGAGACTTGGTACATTTCGAGTCTTGTGAAACCGTGCTTGCACCAAATGGCTCAAAGCAAAGCAGGCCAGAACATGTTTGGCACACGGCTCAGATCGCATGAAAGCCATCCATTTTTTGACTGGTTTCAATTCAACAACCTTATCTGTTCAGGTCGTTTCATCATCACTTCATGGATTCGCAAGTGCGGCCAACGAGTCCCACGAGACAAAAAGACACGCTTGGCCGTTACTGCTTTCAAGTCTGCCTTTGAGCGTGAGGAGCTCTGCTGAGCTGGATAGGTTTGGGGAGGGGTTGTTACGCTCCCTTCGCTCCCTTGCGAGTGGTTAGCTTTGCGAAGGGAGCTCTTTGGCCGGCCTGGAGTAGGAGAGAGCTGGCGGATCAGACCAGCAAAGGTCCAAGCACAAGTTCTTCTTGTCGTTGCACCCTTTGTGAAGCGTGCCTTTGAAGACATACAAAGGGGTACGATATTTTGATCTAAACTGTTTGTATTTGTCGTGCTTTCCTCCAAGTTGCTGCCTTGGGCTTTGGAATCCTGGATGGATACTGCTACTAGAATATGGTAGCAAAAAGCCTTGCCACCCCAATCCTGTGCCAGCAGTTATATGTCTTCTTGGATCTTCTTGGCGATGAACAAGTTGATCAAACAAAGCAGCACGCCCGTGCACCTATCACACCAGAGCCAAATCAGCCAGCTTCCAAACTGGGATAGCATGCGATAGCAATGCCTGTCCCTGTTGGGTTGTGCGAGCAGTGCTTCGCAGCTGGGGAACGTTGAGGGAAGCAAAACTCTAGCTCCACCTTGACAGCATCTGTGCAAGGGGGAGATGGCAGGCATGTCTGAAGGTGGCTCGCTTGTGTGCAGAATGTGTTTTGACCTGTGATCTCATTCTGGTATATACTCACTGATGTGTTCTTGTTGTTGTTTCTTCTCCACAAGTCATCTAAAATGACCTGATCAAGCTCTATCACGTTGCCTCCAATTCATCCAGATGAAGATGTTGTAACGTCCGCCTTCAGGAAAACAGACATGTGCCTTGGTGGTGATGCCTCTGTCAGAGGAGCGATACTCCGGTGAAGAATATGTATGCCGTGGCCTCTTCGCTGGATCAAACCACCAACGCTTAGTTTCTGTCAAGCACTTTGTTTCTAATGGCGAACATTGTTACTACTAGTAAGGCCGTTTGCTCCTAGTAGCGATGCACTTGTTCCTAGTAGCTTATTGTTTCTACTCGATGATTTATATTCTTTCTTACCAAAGAGAGCGCGCAGAAATGTCGGCAGTCAAAATGGCCAAAGAGTGAGGGAAACCAATGAAGATGAGCCGGAACGCGGCCCTGACTGTTGCTCAAATGAGAAGATCAGCGAGCCACCCAGTGGGTTTCACCTTGCGAAATCAATTTCAAACCTCTGCTCACTGAAGGTGGGCTTTCGCCGACGATTCTGCTTGCGGTGGAGGGTTCCTCCTCAAAAATGGGGTGGCCGTTCAACCCGGTCCGCAGGCTCCCGGTTCCCGCAACAGCGCCCAAACAAGACATCCAATCGAAACTGACTCAATCCATGCAACTCAAACCAATATCAAAGGGGGAGGTCTCAGCCTCCTTGCAGCACTCGCACCGCTCTGAAGACCTTTGACCCACACCAAACAGGCCACCTGTTAAGCAGTTTCTTCGACCAACTCCTCAAGATCTTTAGAGGGGATGTGCCGGGAGAAGAATCCAATCGCAGTGCTCAATACTTGCGCCGTCCAGGGCGGACCAAGTGCGCCGCCCTTCCCTTTTGACTTGAACACGGACGCATGCGGTCAATCATCTCTCTACGCGCTCTATTCAATTTCTTTCGAAGAACCAACATGTATAATTACCCCGCTTGGAAGAATATCGTCCGTCTTCGGCCTAAGCATGTGCACACGGTATGCGCACTCAGCAATAAGATAAGGAGCTGTCACTCAATAGCTGGTGTTCGCAGCAAGTGCAACCAACAAGTAGGAAGCAACACACATGACCCACAATTTGTTTTCGGGCTGATTGGCTTGATAGTTCATGATTCAATCCGCTTCCCATCTGAGGCTGCTGCCATGTGAGCTTGGGCGTCCGCGACTCCGTGATTTTTTAAGTTTCTGATGACGTGGATTTTGTATTTCAGGAGACCAAACCAAGGTCCACTGCTCCTCTTCATTTTCCCGAAAAAAAGGCACCACGTTCTCCAATACTGCGCGCTTCAACCGCTTGAAAGTGCCTGACAAAACACAATCTGAAATCAGACAGGCAGAGCAACATGCTTTTTCCGCACTGAAACCCACAACAATGTCAGTTTACAAACAAAACAGCAAACATCCGCCGATTCGGTGTTTCTTGAGGAGTTTGCCGATGGAGTTGCGCCGCTTTCATTGACTAGAGGGCGAACATCTTCGTTTGGGATCGGAATCGCATAGTTGGCACCATGAGATGCGTCTGGAAGCGAAATGGTGGTGGGAGAATAGACGCAAACACACAAGCAAAGTGCAATGTTTTGCAACTTTTGATTTGGAGATGTTGCAGGGTGTATGGCATGAAGTGACACGTCTGTAATGAGGAACTATCCAAACCGTGGCAAGGGGTTGTTTGTTTGCCAGTAATATGAAAAGCGTGCAAGTGCATCGTGGGGTAGGAAATTGGGGTGGCGAGTATATGATCGACTGTCTGGTCGACGAAAGAGACAGCTTATAAACCCAGTTTTGCAACCGAACAGCGGGAAGCAACTCAATTGACTGGGACGTTTCAACCCTTACAACTACTAGTATGTGTTGCTAAAGCTCCCGCAGTAAACCGAAATCCAATTGCTAAATGCAAAGGGGGCTGGGGAGCAAGAACTGGGGTCCAGGAGCTGGGGGGGGCAAGAAGAAGGACAGGTATCAGAACAATTTTACGTTGCACGTGGCGCAAAAGCAACACCTGCCGCACTGTTGCAACAGCGCAGAAATGTCCTCATTATATTATATAATATGTAATATGTACGTGAACTGCTTTGCGGTCACATAATGCGGCCTTGCTGCACATAATTCACTTTTTGAACCAAGGCCCAAACGTCAATAGTGAGTCCTTGGGCCTTCCGCCTAAATGCGCCTCAAAGGATCGTTTCGAATGGTTCCTGGGCCTCATAGTGGTTTGCTTTGTGTCTGCTTTAAAAGACCCAAGTCTTTGTCGTATGTCTCTATATACGATGTCTCAGCATTACCGCGAAGAAAGTGGTGCTACGCTCCTAAGGCAGAAGAATTGTTTCACAGGGCACTCTATGTTGGCAGCTGGAAGGCTTGGGCTCACACGTTTGCTTGACTTGATTGTGTGTTAACAGGCTCTTTATACAATACATTGAATCGGACATGTGTTTAAGCCAAAATAACCCTTGAAACTGGACAGGTCTTTTCCTCGAGAGTGCTGCACTGCCTCTGCAAACAAGTATGGAACCTATTGAGGTACAGTACTTGAAAAGTGAAGGACAGTGCAGAAATCCTTGTTCCAACGAAGGAGTGCAACTCAGAATGGCAAAAAACAATGTTTCAAATGAAGTCAGCTTTCGTTAAACATCAAGTTGATTTTAACAAAAGATATGGTGATTCCAACACCATGTGTTTGCTAGATTGCTGTTTACACAAAAAACAATGCATGGGGGAGTGCATTACGGACAACCGGAAGTTCGAGAAATCCTCGCCAAAAGAATGACCCTTCGGCGTCGCGCCTGCGATCTTTCGGACAGTGGACTTCTTGGAGACCAGCTCCTCCACTGCGGTGGAGGCCAACATTGGCTTTCACTCAGTGCTGCTTTGTGGAATCAGAAAGGCAAAAGAACACATTGGCAAACAAGCAAATATAGTATAGAAGTAGTGGTGGTGGTAGTAGTAGGAGTAGACTGCACAAAACATAGAAGTAGTGGTGGTCGTAGTCGTAGTCGTAATCGTAGTCGTAATAGTAGTAGTAGTAGTAGTAGTAGTAGAAGTAGAAGTAGTAGTAGTAGTAGTAGTAATAGTAGTGGTAGTGGTAGTCGTATCGTACTCGTAGTCGTAGTGGTGGTGGTAGTTGCTGTTGTTGTAGAAGTAACTACAACCGAGCAGGCTCCCGGTTGTTCTCACACTGATACACCCGCAGCAAGTCCTCCAATGTTTGCTAACAAAGAGACAACGAACACTACGAAGCGAGCACCTGGACCGAATCAAAAGCAACAAGCGAAGAACTCCTCAAACCTGAACCCAAATGGAAAGAACAGAACTGAAACCGCAAATGCCCAGTTTCTCTAATCATAAGCCTGATTGTTTTTCTTAATTGGCGGACAACGTTCACAAACTCAAGCGCTATGATCAAATTTCTGACGGCATCATGCTCGTAGTAAGAGCCTCTCCGTAACAATCACAAGAAACGTCGTTCTCCCTCCTATATAAAAGAAATGATACAGTAAAAGCTTAATCCTGCTACCTGTCCTTCCTTGTCACGCGACAGTCATTCAGACACAAGATTGTTTTTTGTTGCCAATAAGTTAAACCACAGTTTCAGAAAAGTGTAATGGAAGGCAACGGATTTTGTGTTTGGTTCAAGACCTTGACAAAGGCAAGACATTGGAACTCATCGCCTTTTGAAAGGACACAGTCAGTCTTCTGAATGTGAAGATAGTTTCGGGAACGATCGTTTTGTTGGTTGGTTCTTGCTTCGGCAGGACTTGGCATTTGGATTGCGCACTTGGCACCGGAGGCACGTGTAAGTTGACATGAGGCTGCTCAATTGAGATTGCCTACATCTATTTGGCTTTTAGATTCCAAGAACCACAGCTCAAGTTGATGTATAATAACTGAACAACCATTAGTCATTAGTAATATTTAGTAATTATTGATATACATTCCATGTGGTTCCCCGACACTGAGACATCTACGTGACATGAATTCTACGTGCTGTCGCGCAGAAGACCGTATTCCCGCAGCGATCTGTCACGCCAGACCGGCACCTTGAAACTGTTTGAATCTCAGATCGCTTTCAACGGATTGGAAACAACAAATCACTCTGTCCATCTTGATGGGAGGGTGGTATACCCCCCGCTTGAATATATACATTTATGTTGCCCGGCGACGGCGATGTTCATAATCAAGCTGAAAGTCCTGACCTTGTCACTCTCAGGACTGCCTTCAGTAATTACAAAGAATCTAACAATGGAAGTGAGAAAAAGGAACATAGAGAACGTCTCCTGTACATCTTCTTCCTCGTCATCGTCGCTGTCCTCGTTCGCCAGGCTTTGTTTCTGTTCTTGGCGAAGAGCTTGAGCAATGATATGCAAAACTGCAAAGGCGCACACGGAAATCAGCATCACCAACACGAAAAGAGCACACAGCCTGACTGTTGTTGGAGATGGAAAAATTATCAATAACATGGCCACGACAAAGTAGAGCACAAAGCGTGTAGTAAGCAAACAGGTCTCCATTATGTCCAGAATTTCTGCTTGGTTGTTGGAGTATGGCTTGAACCAAGTTGTAAGGCAAAGCAGTATGCCTGATATGAAAGCGAATACAAACAGCTTGGCTGTGTCATCTTCAATCATGGAAGTGTAGGCTATCAGCATCATCAGAGCAATGTCTGCACGTTTGATCAGAAGATCCCACCACCACATCGATGGTTCCAAACCGCGAATAAAGAGCCCATACTTTCGCCCACTTTCGAGCTCTTGCCGCGTTTTCCCCAAGCGGTAGATCAGCACAAACAACCAACATGGAATGCCCAGACACCAAACACTCAATCCAACGATTGAGATGATAAACAAAGGCCAGTGATCGTCGCTGAAACAAACAACACTTGGATTTGGCACCAGCCGTGGCCGCACGCACGCATCCTCCCTGATGGGCGTGCACCACACTAACGACAGAAACTGTGAAAGAAGTTGGGGCCAAATGGCAATCAAAGTCGGCCAAACGACTGGCACACTCTGAATCAACAGTGTCTTAAGACCTGGCTTTGGAGTGAAGAGGCCAAAGTCCAAACAATCGACCGTCCAGACGTTCAAACTACTGAGATCGCGGGTGGTGTCAGGCAAAGCAGTACCTTGACGCAAGTCATCCTTTGCCTGTTGTTCTGCTTCTGAAGCTAAAGCTGCCTCTTGCAAACGGCCAGATTGCTTTGCAGGCCTTTCCTCCGAAGCGCCTCACATCATGTATCAGCATTCATGTGTTTCTCACCGGTTTAATGCTTCCCTTTAAACAACACGAATTAAAGCTGTTTTGCAAGGGGAGAGAGAGAGAGAGAGCGCCAAACGCTTCGAACAACATGCAAAAGACACCTTTTGAGGCTCCCAAAAGGACCTCTTCTGCCGTTCAACTTGTATGACGTATATATTACACTCATTACACTCTTGCTTCATTCCCATCGCCTTGCCTCGTAAATCCCATTCCTGGGCACGATGAACTAAAGCACTGATGAGCTCCAATGGAACGAAGGGTTCTTTGATCACCTGAGCCAGTTTTGTGGAGCAATGGCAGTTCAGCAACTTGACTCAATCAAAACCTGAGAAGTCATTGAATTTTATTGCTGCTCTTTGCAGGCAAGAGACCTTCTTCAAGTCTTCTTCTGAGAATTTTGCGAATAAGAAGTCAGTTGATGGAGAGCTGAAAGATCTTATATCTAAACCCTTTTCTGCAAGTACAGCTTCAAGCTGAGGGTCTCTGGCACTTTTCATCCGACAAATCTCTTTGGCAAATCTCTGGTGCGTGTCAACAATTGAAGCGAAGGAGTCCAGACCACGGAATTTCGGCAGGTCAAGCGGCATGTTTGACAACTTCAAGTCATGTGTCCAAGAACCATGAAACAATTCTTGAATCCGCTTTCTCTTCTTCTGTTTCGTCTTGGCCTCCTGGTTGAAATGCACCCCAAAGCGGCTTGCAACTGGAACCACGAAATACACAACCACAGCACAAACCAAAAACGTAGCAAACAAGGTGATCACAGGCAAAGAGATAAAATAGAGTGCAGGTGCAAGTCGTTGTGCATCCGGACGACCTGGAAACAATTCGAAGGCTCGACATTGGGCTGCGAACTGCACAGACGTAAGCTTTGGCACCACAGCTGCGACAGCGAAGATCATAGCGATGGCGTGGCTCACTTCCACTGGCCATGAGAGCCTAAAGTTCTCAAGAGCCTCATTGATATCACTGGTTTTGGTGCTGTTCGGTTCAATCGCTTGGATTGAAATCTCATGTTGTGCAAACTGCTCTTCATCGCAGGAATCTGACGAAACGGATGCTTGTGCAAAAGGCGTCTCCAACAGTTCCAAATTGAAATGAGTGATCAGGGCGCAAGCTGTGAACCATTGCGTAAGGCTTCGGATCATGTAGGTGTGAAGTGGCAGGTTCGTATTGGCGGACGCAGACGCAGCCAAAGCTGCTAAAACAAAATTTGAAGCTGCTATCTTGGTGATCTCAAAAACGATAGCAGTGCTCAATTGACCAGTTGCGGCCCCTACCCAACACTCCTCACATGGATGAGCATCTTCAAACTTGGCCCAGCCAGCCGGGCATTCGCCACAAAGCATTCCTGTGGTTCCTTCTGCACATTGGTTGTCTCCGAGACAGGCGCTGGATCCATCAGCTAGCACGACTCGACACTTGGTAGCGAAAGTGCTTCCTGTCTGGTAGAAGCCTGCAGCAGCTCGAGGCTGCACATGCTCAGTGGAATTTGGTTCAAAGCCACCGGGGCAATACAGGCCCACATAGGGCAAGCAGCTGGCACAGCGTTCCAATCGACCGTTCGAGGAAAGTATTGCATGGTAGTTCTTCACACAAAAACAGTCTTCCAAGGAGGTGGCACCAGGATAACTATCGGCATTTGATGGGCATGTTTGGGAACAAGTCTCATTGCCGATGTTGCTCTTATACCTTCCAGGGACACATGGCTCACAGCTGCCACTCGAGTAATGGCCGGCCACACACAAGCAGTCATCAATCGATCTGGCAGAGGCCACCAAGGTCTGAGAGTGCTGCGGACACTCCAAAGGCTCCCCGTTTCCTGGGCAGTACAAGCCGGGTGTGCAATCGGAACATCAAAAGTGCCAATTTGGCATATGCAATCTTGGATTGAAGCACCTCCGACTTTCAAAGTGGATTTTCTAATGGGACATGACTGGCATTTATCGTTGGCGAGCGTACTCTTGTACTCTCCAATCCCACAAGGACTGCAGCCTTTGCTCTCTTCGAGGTACTCATAGCCGCTTGTGCAAAGACACTCTTCGACATTTCGAATAGTCACACCTGGTGGTACCAGGGCGTTTGCCCGGCATATCAAAGGTAGGAGGGACACTGAGACATTGGAGGGCTGCACATCTATTATGCCCAGTACTTCGTCTTGACGCAAGGTATCCAACACAGCATCTGATGCAATACTGAGATCTACTTCTTCAGCAAATGTCTCTGCCTCCTCCATAGTCAAGTACTTGAGCGTGACCACCAAAGTCCTCATGGTTGACATGCGCCTGGATGAATTTTTGCTATCGTACAACAGATCCACTTCTGTGATTGCACGAGTGCCCCACATGTTGCGCAATGCGGATGCCACGGTGTTGCTGATTGCGTCTGAAGCGATGCCAGCGGCTGTGATAGAAAGGTTGAATGTCAGGACCGGCACTTCATGTGTATGGGAAATTGAGGCATTCAATTCGGATTCACCATCTTCAGGCGTCAACATTGTTTCTGGCATGCATGAAAAGTTGGAGGATGCGCCTGCAAAGAATGTCGTTGTGTTTTCTGGGCATCTGACACATTCTTCATCGGCGGTTGCAGACTTGTAGAAGCCTTTGGCACAGTCAACACATTGGCCATCAACAATTCCATATCCAGGGAGGCATACGCACTCCTCCCTCGAAGCAGCATACCAATGTAAGGTGGTCTCCTCTGCAGCGCAAGAAACTTTGTTGGCATCAGTAGGGTCACCTCCCCTGCAATAGAACTTTTTTGGGCATTTGGCACAGGCTCGAGAAGATTGGGCATAGTAGGTTCCTGCGCAGGAAACAAGAGTGTACAAGTTTCAAGAGTCAGTGAGCCTTTTGTAACTCAACCCTTGGCCGCCAGTTCTCTTCCAGGGCATGATTGACAAGGAAAGGTACACAAACACACATTGTTCAGTTGCTTGCTGCCTGGGTAAGAACACAACAAACTGCAAGAAGGGCTAAAACTCAGGACTACAGCAAAATCGTACGGACTGACTAGAAAGAATACGTCAGCATAGGCCCCAAATAACAAAAAATATTTGCCCACAGCACTTTAGCAGGGGCACCAGCATACAGTCTCCAACATAAACATCCCGCCGGGCTGACAACTGCGCCTGCGTTTTTGCGTCTTTTTGGTTGTCAGCCTTCAACCGGTGGGTTCAAAACGGTCTGACCACCTGCGTTTCGGCACACTTGACTTGTGAGTTGGGGAGAGGCTAGGGAATATGGTTTTCAAAATATTTTTTTATGATTTATTTATGAAAATTTTACGAAACGCATTTATGAACAAAAAATGTTTGGTGTTTACTTTATGAAAAATTTACGAAACTATTTTTTAATTTCTTGATGTGCTCAACAAATCTCAAAATTTTCATAAAATAATCATAAAAACGTCATTAAAAAATCATAAAATATTCATATTTTTCATTAAAAAAATCATTTAAAAATCATAAAATTTATGATTGTTTACGATTCTCGGCAAATCGTAAAAAATCATTAAAAAATCATAAAAAATGCATACAACTTATGAAAAAATTACAAAAGAAATTATGATTTTTGTGATTTTTTAATGAAAATTTTATGAATTTTGTTGAATTTCTGATTTGGTGGAAATCCATTAAAAAAATCATAAAAAACATTAAAAAATCATAAAGTAATTCATAAAAAAAAATCATAAAAATATCATAACCAAATCATTAAAAAAACATAAAAAAAAAAAATCATAAAAATCAAATCCCAAAAATTCGAGGACCAATTAGTTTTCATTAAAAAAACATAAAAAATCAATAAAAAAATAAAAAATAAACCCTCCTCTGGCTGTCTTCCTGACTCTCAACACTTGACTTTTGACTTTCGAAAAACAAGTGTTGTGCGTCTTATATACAATGGTTTTCACTTCAAAGTCGCGTTTCGCTGTAGCGAAATACACATTTTCATACAAGTTCATCCATGAAAATTGTTCTATTTTAAAGGGTTTAAGGGCACTTTGCCACTTCGCAACAGCGAAGCGCAAATTCGAAAAGCTCTAGCCAAGCATCGATGTCAGACATTTTTCCGTCAGCGTCGAACGATGCTTGAAGCGGCGCTTCCTGTACAAAACATAAAGTCTTGAATTGTGTTTTTCACCTCCAACAGTACCTTTGCAAACGCTTGAAGATTTGGGGGTTGACACCACCATTCGACATTAGTGTGTGTGCATGGAGGCGGGAGTTGCCATCTTCGCGCGAGCCCAAAGCCCATCTATGGAACATGTGTTCACATCCAGTGACGGTTGTGGTCACCTTCTCTTGACAAGATTAAACTCCCCTTGGCTGTGGTTGCATGCCAAGTGCGCCGATAAGATCCATTGTAGTTTTCACGGAAAGGAAAATAGACGAAGATGCATTGCTTCGCATGATGTAACAAAATGTGAGATGCAAAGATGCCGAAGACGTTGGACATCACCGACCGTACGTCTTTGATCCCAGAAGCCGAAGATGCACCTAACACGCATGATGAGAGTCTCGAGGCGAGAAACATGAAAAGTTAGATGTAGAAAAAACTTGCAAATGTCGATAAAATGCTTGGGTGATATTACTACTACACACAAAAATGGACAGTCCCAAATTAAGAAGTAGCATTAAAATCCAAAACAAGGTAATTTCACCAAAAACACAACATAAACACCTGCAACGCAATCAGATGTTGCTACGGAGGAAACATGAGAAAACACTGCTATTTACCGTTGAAAAATGATAAAGATGAAAGGTCCTGACTTTCACGCAACGTGTGACAACATCAAAGACATGATCATTGCTTTGATAAAAAAAGTGCACGACTACTAGCGCGGTTCTCAGCCCGCTGGCATAAACATCTCGCAGTAGCAGCAGCAGCACCCTGGAGCGGCACCCTGCATAGGCATTCCTTTCTAATTTGTTGAAGTATGAACCTCAAAAGCTCTCGCTATCTCGGGAGCAAAACAGTATGAGGTTGCACGTGCAACGCTCCAACATAGCAACAACAACACAGAGCGAGACTATTCCAAACACAACAGGGCAATACAGATGCTGGAGCAGCATCTTTAGCTTAGCTATTCTACAATTGTTGATACAGCCGTGTTCGTTGAAGCGTCAGTCTGATCCCAAAGCTAGAACGTGGGAACCTCCCAGCACCGACACATCGTCCAAAGCACACAGCCAGCTCACAGCACCGGCACCAGCACCGACACCCTGTCTCGAAAGCGCGCACAGCCAGCTCATGATCATTTGAAGTAAGAAACCTATAGCTATTGCATGTTATCGCTATCTTGGGAAAACAGTGATCTCCTGGTGGGCAATGAATCTGCAGTTCTCCAGCTGCACCTCGAAAATCTGAGGCTGAAGTGCACAACAAATCCGCAGGGCACCAGCAAATTCGATAGATTCCGGGACCAGGTTTTGAACCAAAGGGCAAGGTTCCAAGGTCAACTTCAAGTCCATTGCCGTCGTCCTTCACTCTCAAAGGCTCTGGAAGCTCCATGAAGACCTGGAAAGCGACTCCTTCGTAGCTCCAGCTTTGGCAACTATGATTGCGGAACACCAAGCGATCACCCACATTCAAGCCGATACCAACCAGCTGTACAGCGCATGGGCGGCCTTGTTCGCACACTCTTGTAACGTAGAAGGGACCCTTTGTGGTGAAAAGACCCAGCGAAGCTCGAAAGTCCAAAGCATGGGTGCAGTTTTCCAGAGATGGCCGGCAAAAGCACATGGTAAAAATACCCACTGCTGACCACAACAATGAGCTTTCACCCACAAAATCGAAGTCTCCATTCTCCTGGCAAAGCAGCTTTGGGTGGCAGGATAAAAAAAGCAAGCATTGTAATCGTCTATTATGTTTTAATAAAGCTGTGGTTTGACAATGATATGTTGCTTTGCTTGCACTGCTGTTAAGCCTTCTGTGTGCTATGTCCATTTCTTTGCCAAGCTTCGTTGCGAAAGGCAATTCCATTGCCAGGACTTCCAGGAAGCATAGGACCTGTCTCACAATCCGTGCGGAGCATGATCCGGTCACCAGTCGTCAAACCAACTCCTTTAATGTTCTGCAAATGGCAAGGCTGACCCAGAAAGCAGTTCGTCCGTTGATTTGTGTAGGGTCCTAAGACTTGCAAGTGGCCGGCTGGCACTGCAAAATCTGAAGCGGTATTGCAGGAGCCGCCGCACCAGCAAATGGTGTACGCTTCATCCGCATCCAGCAGAACATTGACAAATGTAAGGTAAAACTCTCCATCAAAGGTCGAAAGGCTGCCAGTACCATTGGGATTTGCAAGTGCCAGCGGCAGGACTTCAGAACCACCACATGCACGGCGAACCGCCACTCGATCTTCTATGGAAAGCTGATGTCCTTGAAAAGGCCGCAAACCTAAACAGGTCTGACCTCGAACACAGTCCAAGGAGTGATTACGAAAAGGTCCAATGACTTCAAGTTGTCCTGCGGACAAAATGAAATCGGTCTGCAGACTTCCGCATTGAAGATCGCGCATGTTGGCACACCAGCACAGATTGTAAATTCCTCCTTCTGGGCTGAAGTCACCAGCCGCATCACCCCAAACATGCAGGCTTCCGCTGCTTGTTGCAGGCTTTGAGATTCCTTGAGCAACCACATTGGGCACAGCCGCTTTGCCACCCGAGTCACAGCTTGACGTCGACAAAGCAAGCCGATGACCATCTTGAAGGTTGAAACCAGTGATTTCAACATGGCAAACCTTCCCCGATATGCAGCGCACAAGCTGATGTCCGTCAGGCCTGACACACAAACTCATCTCGTCAGCACCCTCTTCACGAGTTGTAGCGCCCGGCATGCAGGAAATGCAAGCGTCTTCATGCGAAGCCGCAGACTCGTTACTCCACTTTCCTGCTGGGCAGGGTTCACAGGCCCCATCGCCAATGTCTGCTTTGAATGAGCCTTTAGGACAAGCTTCGCACACAGACTCCACACGGAAGAAACCCGAGGCACAAATACACTCGGATTCGCTGTTAGCGGTCTCTGTGGACGAGGTCAGAGAATGCCCGCAGGCCTGTTTGTGTGTTCCACCTTGACAAAAGAAACCCTGGCCACAAGGTTGGCAGTTTGCAGGGTCATCCAGCACCTCGTTCACGTATCCAGCTGGACAAGTGCAAGCTGCGCTGGAAATTCCTCCTTCTTGTAAAGTTGAGAGTCCACCGCAAGAAGAACAGGCTGAATCGTCAACAGTCGACTTGTACTTGCCCCGTGGGCATTTCGTGCAACCACTGGCAAGACCTGATTCATCTGGTACCGGCTCCATTCCATGAATGCACTTGCAGTCGGACTGGCTTCGAATGATGCCAGTGATCCCAAAACCCAATCCATCGGGACACCGGAGGCTTTCCATAGCTATCTCGCTTCTGCTGGTCACTTCTGATTCCTTTGCCGAAGCCAAGGCAAAGAACACGTCTGCATCCATCTTCGCATGAAGCTTGGCTGCCTCCTCTTCTTCTGACGTCATGATTTTGTAGCTAATTTGCCCTGCAGTTGGAGTCAGATGCAGGGATGCCCGCGCACTCAGAACCAGGTAGTCAATCAAATTTAATCGCACAACTTCAAGTGAATCAGATTCCGGAGATGACATCGAACCGTGAAATGAATACATTAGCACTTCAGTTTGGGAAAGGAAACCAGCAGTGCTGACAAATTGCTCCAGAACAGTTAGTCCGGCACATGTGATGTTCTCACTCAAGTCAATGTCAATCTTGCCAGAGTGGCAAGAACACTCATACAATGCGATGGCACCCTCTGGGGAAACAGTTTGAGGTGGGCATGTTTGGCACAAGTCAGGTCCAGTGTGGTTCTTGAAGTAGCCTGGAGGACACATGGAACAAGTGCTGACCTGCACATTCAAGAAATGGCCGCGCCGACATTCACAGGCTTCTGCTGAGACTGACCCACTAGGCGAGGTGCTTCCTTGAGGACATTCGTAGATCATGGACTGGTGAGAATCGGCAGCCTTGCCACCAGGACAGTAGCTTCCAGGAGGGCACTTTTGGCATTTGGAGATCATGCCACGCAGCTCATACCATCCTGGAATCGTGACAAAAAGAGAAAAAAACACTGTTGCAAAGGACGTGTCTCCTTTCGCAATGAACATTGCACAACAAAAGAAGAAAAACCTACCCTCAAACGAATTATAAACAGCTAACCCTCTGGAGCAAGGCCATGGACGGCAAGGTCAGAAGGAGGCAGCATTTGCTCGGAACGTCTGAACGGGCAAAAGTGGGAGGCCAAAAAAGCGCCCCCCTGTGCTTAGCAAGAAAAATAACAGAGAGTTTCTAAGCAGCAGGTAAGGATTGCTGTTTTGTTTACCTTTGCGACCAAGCAAGTCTATTGTTGAATGTGCGGCAAAGGGCGAGGAGATCCAAGACAAACATGATGTAGTTGGTCGCGGAACAAGGTTGCGCCAAGGACAAATGAAACAAAGGTCGAACTACACAGGTTGCATACTTGAAACAAACTCCATATTATGTGCCAAATGGAGTCTCGCATATGTTCTTTGTGCCTGGTTTTCAATTGACACTACGTTCGTGAACCACTTTCTTCAGCTATAGCTTTGAAACTATCTGCCCCTTTGCTCGACCAGTTAGTCTCTTGACTTATGACGACTTATACGCGTCGGACACGCCCCGAGAAGACAGTCCTGGCGGGCAAACCACATAGAAAAGCATGGCCAGAGCACGGAAATCCTCCAACTCTTTGCAGCTTGACTCTTCTGGGCACCAGCATAGTTGCACCACATCTGGCGAGCCATCCAGCTCCAAGTGGCCAAAATCAAACAAGAGATCATCGGACTGGGTGGAAGCGGAAGCGCTGATGGGCTGCGGCTCTGGAAAGAGTGATGTCTGCAACAATGTCCCGCATTCTTTCATTGGAAGCAACTGGTCAGTCTTAGAAAGTCGTGAGCCTTGCAATCCTGAGATGACACAAGGAGCCCCCTGGTCGCAAATGAAAGATTGCCCTGGAAAGGGACCGGCCACGATCAACAATCCCACGTCGAACCAATGGCTCTCGCAATCCTCAAGACTCGGACACCAGCGGATCCGGTACAGACCAGGCTGCAGCTGCATAACAAGCGGATCAGATAAGTCGCTTCGATTTTGGTCTGAGTCTTCGCTGGTGGAATTCTCCAGAGCAAAGGAAAAGTTATATCCATCCAGCGTCTTTAGATATAAGCCCAACAAACTCGGTTCTGAAGAGCCTGTGAAAAAGTTGACAACAGTCAGAATGTCACCTGCTTCCAATCTGCGACTTGCCAACTGCAGGCTGCACTCCTGACCTAAGAAGCATTCCTCCACAGGTACTTCCTCCGCTTCAACTCCTACGTAGCGCCACATGTCCTTCTTGTAAGATACATCATAGCCACCTAGAAGATACATGTAGCGTGAGCTTGGGTCCCACCAGGCTACGTGGTCCTCTCGAGCAGTAGGGCTGGGATAAGGTCCAGGAGGAGCCAAAGGAGTCCACGAGTTTGTCAAGATGCTGTAGTTCCACAATTCTGCTGTGTAGTTGTGTGACTCATTCAGCACTTTGACACCTCCAAAAGTCAAGATAGACAAAGTTCTTGCATCCCAAACGGCCGAATGGCCGGCACGACCGGAAGGAGGATTTGCAGGAGACAGCAACGTCCAGGAATTCGTCCACCGGCCATAATGCCAAAGATCGTCCAGCGCCATAAGGTCCCAACCTCCGAACATTAGCATTGCCTTTATAGCATCTGCCCAGACTGCAGAGTGCCTGCTTCGGGCTGAAGGCTTGTCAGATGATGGTGTCAATTCTTTCCACGTGTTTGACAGGAAATGATACTCCCAGAAATCAGCGAGATTCACACCTCTTTCACCGGCAAACACCAGCAGCATCTGATTGTCCGCATCCCATACTCCTGAGTGGTAGGCTCTTCCGTGGGGTTTTGTGGGCGAATCAGATTTCTTCCATGAGCTGGTGTCCATGCTGAAGAGCCATAGTTCATCAGAATAGGATGTGAGATAGCTCCCACCGAAAACCAACATGGTGCGGGAGCGGAAATCCCATACTGCTGAATGGCCACCCCTAGCCGAAGGTCCATCTCCTACCAAGAGTTGCTCCCAAATACCTTGTTCATTGCCCCGCCACACATCATTGTAATGCCGAAAGAAGCCTGCTTCATGGCCAGCAAAGACTAACATCGATGCACTGGCTGCATCCCAAACTAAGGAATGGCCTCTGCGAGCTGAGAATGTGGGATCTGCAAAGCGCGTCCAAGCATCCAAATGGCATTCGACTGCAGCAGCTTCCCAAAATCCACAATCATGAACCCCCCATCCTCTGAATGGGCATTGGCCGATATCAACTTCGTCACCGATACAGGCAACATTATCCATACCAAATTGGCCACTTCCATTCCAATGAAAGCTCGCAAGTCCACCTGCGAGGCCAAGTTGCCGACAAACCACCTGCGCATTCACGTTGTTCCAATTGTCGTCGCAAACATCGCGCCAGTAGTCGTGAACTTTCACCTGCACACGCCCTTGTGTTAGCATGGCATCAACAAGTCGGATGTTGGTTTGGACACTTGTGGCAAAGGTACCTGTATCGACCTCACTTAAATAGTCACCCATCTCATACATTTGATCACCAATGTTCTCTGTTGAGCCTTGGCCCAGTTGGCCATAATAACCCTTTCCCCAACACTTGATCATATCATTGTCAAGCAAGGCGCATGTGTGAGCCTCGCCCGCTGACACTTG